TCTCTTTCTCTCTCGTTTTCTTTCTCTCTATTTCTTTCTCTCTCTCTCTCTCTCTCTCTCTATCTCTCTCTCTCTCTCTCTCTCTCTCTTCTCTCTCTCTCTCTCTCTCTCTCGCTCTCTCGTTCTCTCTCTCTCGTTCTCTCTCTCTTTCTCTCTCTCTCTCTCTCTCTCTCTCTCTCTCTCTCTCTCTCTCTCTCTCTCTCTCTCTCTCTCTCTCTCTCTCTCTCTCTCTCTCTCGTTCTCTCTCTGTGAAATTCACAGCTAAGGTATATCGTTGTTTCCTGTTTTGTTACTTGCTCTGTTTTTTGCGTTCTGTTTTTTAACGTATAGCGTTGTTCATCATTTTTTTACCTTACCACCATTAGATTGCATTCTGTTTGGTTATTATAATATTCTCCTCATTTGACTTACTTTCTTTTCAATTTTCTCCACATTTTGATAATTCTTTTCTTCTCTCCCCTCTTCCTTCTTTCCCTCTCCTTCATTCGGTGCCTATTTGTTTTTCCAGATTTCCTTCTGGCTTTCGTTCCAGATGTGTACATCTGCCAAGATTACTTATGAAGTGAATAGTAGTGGTAATCTGTAGGATTGTTTTGTATTGCATGTTTTGTTGTTTTTGAGTTTTTTGCATTTACGGTTTTTTTTCCGTTTGTGTGAATGTGTGTGATCTTGTATATGTGTTTGTATGTGTGTGTGTGTCTTTGTGTGTGTGTGTGTACTGTGGCTGTGTGCATTCATCCGTATCCATTGCAATAACAACGCACATATTTGATCTTTAAAAAGAAATCTCAAATCTATCATTTCACAAAAGGTTCATTGGCGCACTCAGTGACTCGTGTGCGACCACTTCGAACTGGATTTGATAGAGATGATTTTCTTTTTAGATTTCACAGATTGTGTTGTTTCATGTGGTAGTTGATTATTCAAAAGCTAAGCTATTCCCCCATGCTAGGCAGGGGATGGCGGTAGCTTAGTTTTTGGGTTTTTAACTGTCACGCATTTTACCATGTGCATGCGCATCATTCATGATATATCACACGCATTATATAGCATTATTTATGCATTATGCATTGTATAGCATCATTTATGCATTGTGCATGCATCAATTTATTATCACACAACACCATTCAACAGTAAAACATATACGGTAATGCAAACAGTACAGCAAATCTGCACTAAACAACTGCAAAAAAATCATATGGTCTAATACACTGTGAACAGTACCGTAGTCAAGACTGCTTAACATGCATACAGTATGGGAAGGGTATTACTGTAGTTTGCAAATTTTATTTTCATGTTTTAACAAAAAATATAAACATGAAAATAAAATTTGGCAAAATCGATCGTAAAGGGTTGCTTCGCAACCCAAAAAAGCCGTCGGTAGAATACACTTCGCGAAAAAAATTCCATACCGGTACTCATCATTCAAAGCGCAGACCTCCAACTCAAGCACTCTGGTTTAGTATTGCGAAGCACTGGTCACTTTGTTCTGTTTTGAGTTCAAGAAAATCCATTTTTATCTATGATCGCAGAAGGAGAATTAGAGGGAGACTTATGTCACATTTTACGTGCGCTGTGCACCAGAGTCAAATGCTATGCTGTTTGCCACTACCACGCTCTTCTTACTACATTTCACTTACATTCCACCACCTAGTCTACTGCCTCAGTCTCAAAGTCACAACCCTATCGTTTTTTCACTCTGAGGAAGGTGTTGGAGAACGGAACACAAATGCAGCTGGGGACGTGCCGAGCTTGAAATATCAAAATAGCAAGTGCCAATAAGCGCATCAAGTCTCTATAGCACCGTGAATTTGTTTTCACTTGAGGAAGGTGGTGGAGAACCAGAGGAAGACGTAGGTAACAAGGGACGTGCCGAGCTCGAGACTCCAGAAGCCGGGGAAAATGCCCTCGGGAATGAACGGCACGAGGAAAGAGCCAGTGATCCAACCAACCACGAGCGTGGCGAACCTGGGAGATTGGGTTGGAGCAATGGTGCAGAAGAAAGGTAGGAGGGAAGCATGGAGGGACGGAGCAGGAACGTGACAAGAGACATGCCAAACTCGAGATCCCTGAAGCCGGGGAGAATGCCTTCGGGGATGAAAGGCACGAGGAAAGAGCCGGTGACCCAGCCAACCACGAGCGTGGCAAACCTGAGAAAATGGGTTGGGGTTGGAGTAATGGTGCAGAGGTAGGTGGGGAGGATGGAGGGGCGGAAGGAGGACATGGATGACGCGGAAAGTGCTTAGCCCAAGAGCCCAGAAGCCAGGGGAAATGCCCCCTGATATGAACAGCACACGTTTGAGTCGCCTCAACGAGGATAAAGGCACTAAGGGAACAATGGGCAAGATCAACGAGCCTGTGACCTTTGTTGATCACAGCACTCTTTGGCTAGCTAACACAAAGACGAGCACAGAGTGCAGGGCACTCTTTGGGCGTGCTTTGCATGTGGAGACTAGGGGGGGAACCACTTACCCGATAATGAGTGCCCTGGTAATGCTCTTGAGCCGCTCGTTGATGAGGTACACTGAGAGACCCAGAGCCACCGCAACCTGAAACGCACAAGGCGGGGGGTGGGGTTCAATGCAGCTCATAACCATAACTCAAGGAGGGGTCTTGCACTGAGATATGGTGGTACTAATATTCATGAGTCAATGCCAAAAGAATCGGTTTGGATCTACCCTCCTGGTGTATTCCTCCCAGCCCAGCCAGCACCACTGTCTCTTAATCACCTCTCTCGAGAGGCCGGCCCAGCCCGCCATCAGCAAGGTTCACAATGCTCCGGAAAGTTTTGGGCGCCTCAAAACTAGTTTTGTTTTGAGGCGCCTCAAAACTAGACTAGCCCGGCCCGCCATCAGCAAGGTTCACAATGCTCCGGCCAGACGGCGATGAGAGCAAAGAGTACCTCCCTCTGCACCAGCGCCACCTCTGCCAGATCAATTTTTCAGAAATACTTTTGCGATTTTATCTCACCTGGACTGCGGGACCGCCCTCAGCAGGGTTCATGATACTCCAGACGGCGATGCGAGCGAAGAGCACCTCCCGCTGCAGCACCAGAGCCACCTCTCCCAGCTCAATTTCCCAGAGATACTCTTGCATTTCTTTCTCACCTGGAACGCGGGCCCGCCCTCAGCAGGGTTCATAATACTCCAGACGGCGATGAGAGCAAAGAGCACTGCCCGCTGGGCCATCACTGCCGGAACAATCTTCCTAATGCTATCCTCCTAGCGCATTGCTCCCAGCATTACTGTCGTCTTGGCAGTCTCACCTGGAACGCGGGACCGCCCTCAGCAGGGTTCATAATACTCCAGACGGCGATGAGAGCAAAGAGCACTGCTCGCTGCGCAATCACTGCCGGCTTGGGCACATCCACCATGTCAATGAGCGCCTGGATCCAGGGCGGTGCCTCCGCCACCTTTTTCTTGAGATCCGCCTGGTAGAGAGTGATACGATGGAAGAATCAAGGGTGCAAAGCGGTTCAGAACATGAGCGGTCCCCACCAGCACAACACTGCCAGCTTGGGCACATCCACCAGTCGATGAGCGCCTGGATCCAGGGGGGTGCCTCCGCCACCTTCTTTTTGAGATCCGCCTGGTAGAGAGTGATACGACGGAAAAATCAGGTGTGCAAAGCGGTTCAGACATGGGCGCTCGTTGGTCAGTCACTGCCGGCTTGGGCACATCCACCATGTCGATGAGCGCCTGGATCCAGGGGGGTGCCTCCGCCACCTTCTTCTTGAGATCCGCCTGCAGGGGGGAAAGAAGATGGTGGAAGAGAAGTACCAGGTGTGCAAAGCGGTTCAGACATGCATGGGAACCTTCCCCGTCGTCACAGTCACTGCCGGCTTGGGCACATCCACCATGTCGATGAGTGCCTGGATCCAGGGCGGGGCCTCCGCCACCTTCTTCTTGAGATCCGCCTGGGGGAGGGTGGGAGGAGGTGAGGTTGAGAATGCGGTGGTGAGGGTGGAATGATGCAGTTTATCATCAGACAAGGTGGCGTGACCTGGCTTGGGCACATCCACCATGTCAATGAGCGACTGGATTCAGGGGTGTGCCTCCGCCTGATTCCAAGAGAGCGCCTAATGATCATGACCAGGAGGACGGTGGCTGTGGCCAAGGTTTCGGGTTTAAGGATCATCGCTGAGGATACAATTACATTGCTCCTACTTACATTCTTCTTGATCTCATTTTGAATTTCAGTTGTGGTCCGAGCAAATGCTTCTGAGTTGACTCCCATATCCCCTCCGTCCACACAGCCCATACACACGTGTATCCTAAGTCAACTCAACGAAAACACACCCGTTCATACAGGCCATACATAACAGCTAAGACCCAGCCGCACCTCTCGTAGTGATCGACGCCATGCAACATTGCTCCGCCCTGAACATTTTCCCAATTGATTTAAACCATCAAGAAATACAATAACGCTCGCACCTTGAGGTTGATTTTGGACTTGCGCCGCTCTCTGAATTTCTCCGCGATAATTTTGTCAAATGCCTCCTCGATGGCTTCGCGGCTCCGCTCGTGGCCCTTGTACTCCTCCACCAGGTAGTTCTTCGCCTCCGTTATCTCCTCCGTCGACGCGTCGCGGCCAAGCCCGAGGCGCTTGTAGGGGTCGCGGGTTCCGATGCGCGGGAACACCTTTGGGGGTTCTGGAGAAGCAAGAGAAAACGTGGTTAAATTACGAAACGAAAACACGTGTGAGTTAAAAAAAAAAGGTTTAAAAAAGGAGTTGATGTAACCGACACACTGGCAGACGATTCATGGGGTGCACAAAGATTAATAGAGTTGTCAACGGAAAGAGATATACTTTCCGGCCGCAAAAAAGCATGGGACACCACTCCAAGTGTCGGCTGGTGGACGTTGGGAACAAGTTTTTCATTTGTTCAAAAGAGCTTGCGACAGTCAAAGAAAAAAAAAAATGCGTACCGTCGCTGAAGGATGCGTCCATCGCACAGACCCACATTGGCGATCGCGACACCTGGCGAACGCATCTGCGAAGCACCAGACCATGACACGTGGAAACCAGCCCGCGGGAACATCGGTAAGTGCCAAAAAATGACAATTGTGATTATTAATCGTTTACGGGACTCTTAAACAGAAGAAACGTTCGCTGTAAGCACACCTATCGTTCCGCCGAAGAGTCAAGCCGGCGCTCAGGGAGCTACCGGCCGACCATCTTCGGGTCCGCTGAGGCTGGTCTGGTAACGCTATGCTCCCCACCGCCACGTACGCAGCCGCTCGTGCAGCCGCAGCCATTCTCTCGTCCTGCTAGCTCCAAGCTAGAGGTATAAGAAACAGTCCTCTCGATACAATTCGTTCGCTAATCGTTTCGGGGTCTAGCGAAGAAATAACACAACAACGAACAGAGCGTGCGGAGTTGGCAGAAGGAGCGTAGACAGGCGTTGGAGCTCCGCTCGCAACAAGCAGCCGCAGCTGTCACTTCAGGCGTAGAACGAGAAGGGAGAAGCAAGTGAGAAGCAAGCGAGGGGAAAGTAAAGCAGAAGAGACCAGAACAGAAGAGTAGGTCCGTGGAGTGGTGGGAGGCGGTGACGAGCAGATGGATAGCGTTCTTCTGGATTGTGCTCGTGGCGGGGGGACGACACGGGATTGGATGGCGCGTTGGGTTTCGGGTGACACGTGTCGTTATGTGCTTGCTTCTGTGAGTGGCCGTCTACAAGATCATGAAAGAAATAGCGCAAAAACAATTTGAGCTAGTACAGCATTCAACTCTTTTAGTAAACCTATTACAACCCAACAAAGCAACTGAATCTATAAGTCTGAAGACTACAAACCATTGAACAGACCAGCCATTCCATAAACTCTACAGATTAGCTATTCGCCCACTACACTACAAGTTTCTTCGACTGGGGTCGGTGAATCAGTACAGGGCACGAAGAGTGATGCGCACAATAGTCTGAGACACTCCCCAACAGCAAGCGCTTGGTCATGCCCTTGCCATGGCTGCCGATTACAAGCAGGTCAACACTCTCCTTTTCCACGGTGCTGATGATTGCCTCCCTGTTAGTCATCCATGAAACGAAAAAATGTTAGAAAACACGGTCCTCAAGCTACAACCAGGAACTTCGAAGGGGGGGAGGAAGACAAGAAGTGTAGCGTATTCTCTGGGACTGCATACTAACAGGGGCATCATATTAAGCGCAAAAAACTTGCCTTGGATCTCCCTTCTCTTCAATTGTGACGTGCTCCAAACCTTTCTCCTCCGCCAGCTTCTTATACTCCTCCAGAATAGGGTTCTCAGCGCCAGCTAAAAACAAAAATTGCAGAAAGGCAAATTAACAACAATCGAAATAAAGCGTCGGGAAAACACAATGGTCAGCGTTCAGGTGCACGAAAAGTTTCATCTCACGTGCAAACATGTGTCAACTCATGAAAATAATGTTCCACCTCGGAATAGACCGCTTACAGCTGCTTGCCATTATGGGTGCGACGGCCTTGAAAGTTAGCGCATATTGGACCTTGTGAATTCAACGACCCATTATAATATTGCCTTCAGTGAAACGTACGTCAAAGATGCATAAGAGTCACATTCTGCAAGCCGAATGACTTCTGTAAGTAGGTATGCCATGCGTCAGAACAAAACGTAGCACTTACCATCGCCGCTAGCAGCTCGGACGTTGAACAGCACCACCAGGTCCTTCTCCGGTCGGAATATCTTTGCGACGGCGAAGTCGAACGCCTGGCGGCTAAACTCGCTGCCGTCGAGCGCCACCATCACCTTCCGCTTCTTCACAACAGCCTCCTCTGCCATCGCCGCAGAGAGAAATACGTTCTAACAAGTATAAGGTTCTTAACGAAGCGTGAGCCCAAAGAGCGAGGGTGATGCAGGCGGATAAGACCTGACTGTCAAAATGCTGAAACAGAAGCCAAGAAATGGTATGTGGAGAGGGAACTATGAGCAAAGCAGGCATGGGTCTGGGAGAGTTTCAAGATTCGGCTGCTCTTGGGGTTGGGCTTGGGCCTTTCGCCAAGCAACGCTTTCGTTGGCATCGTCTTGCTCGCATGTCCTCGCGAACTAGATTTTACACGGTCTGTTACAAAACTCTTGCTCCGATTTGGCGGCTGGCTGAAGGACGTGTCGGTCCAGCTCAGGCTATCAGCAGAGAACGCTACATTCTGATTGGTGCATGCAAAATAATTGACACACAAGGGGCTCTTTTTGAGGTTAGCTGCACGTGCCTAAGCACTACGATACAACGCGGGCCCGTTACGAGGCAGAGCGATGGGGTGATCATCAAGTGCGAAGTCTTAGAAGCTTTGCTTAAAAATGCTTTGGAAAAAAAAAGCTCTACTAAAGGATGGTGCCTGATGCAAATGCAGCAAACTTCTCCTTGGCCAATGGCGACGCATTGAGGATGGACAGCCCTATACTACGTGCATTCGCCAAAGGGAATGTGTTGGTGGCAAACAATCGCTTCAATGAATCCATGGCTCCCATCATGGCAATATTGGCTCCCATACGTTCCCGTTCAAATGATCTCAACAGCTGCACCTGCAAAAAATACAAACATCAAGACATCAGACAACATAGAAAAACAACATTGTTATCACTACCAAATCCACACGTAATTTCACATACCTCTCCAATGTCCTCTCCGACTTCCACCAGCTTTTCTAGAACTGTCACGAGCGCTGTAACATCCCCAAAGCCAAGGTTAGCTCCTTGACCTGCCAAAGGGTGCACTGTGTGTGCTGCATCCCCCACAAGAGCACATCTCGGTGCAACATAAGAGCCTGCATGCTGTAGTGACAACGGGAACGAAAGAACCTTGCTTCGGGCAGCTAAAACTTCCGGGGGCGTACAAAACTTGCCCGAATCGCTCGACCTGTAAGAGGGATTCATGGGAGATTGTGCCACAAGGGATTCTAGGGAGGCTGCAGATGCAATAGCAGATATGAGAGATTTCCCTGCTGCTGCAGCAGCAGAAGAAACAGCACCTGCGGCTGCAGCAGCAGCGGCAGCAGCAGCAGCACCAGCAGCAGCACCAGCAACAGAAGCAGCAGATGGAAGCACAGAAGGCAGCTTCAAACCCCCTTGAGGAAACCCAGGCGCTGGAAACTCTTTACTGAACGCCTCATTAACAGCATGTGCGAATTCTTCTGGGCTCATAGACTGTAGCTTAAGGGCGTGTTCTTCGGTGGTCGACCACACGACATTACTGTAGCGATCCCCCAGGGGGAGGAGAGCGAGAGGGCCTGAGGGGAGGAACCGCTGCCAGGCTGTGATGCTGGGGGAGGCGAGATCGACGGTTGCGATCACTCCTCGCTGGTGGTATGGCCATCCAATGGTACGGAGATGTGCGAGGGAACGGACGCGAGATCGAGAACCGTCAGCTCCGATCTGGGAAGGAAGAAGGAGGGCGAGGGGGAAGGGGGTGATTATGCAGAAGCAGTATACAAGAAAGAATTCCAGTAGGGGATGATGATGTAGAAGAGATGATACAGATGAGAGACAGGACGTGGGGGGATTGGATGATATAGAAGAGGTAATACTACAAATGCAAGAGCACAGAGGGCGAGGAGGAGCGGGGGAGGGGGGGGGGGGTGGATTGTTTGACGATACAGAAAAGGAGATACAGAAGAGACAGCGAGAGGGTAGAAGGGAGGAAGAGGCAGACAGGGCAGCAAAAAAAAGACATGCAGTGTTTGACAAAGGAGGTGGCACAGGAGGAGGAGGCGAAGGGGCTCACCACAAGCCTTGCTCTAATGGGTGGGCGGCTCTCATAGTGAATCCCTGCGAAACCATCCCCATCCCCGTCAGCATTTGTGCTCCCCCCTTTATTGGGAGTGTCATTGATGGAGGAGTCAGAAGGCTTTGGCCAGTTGATGGTTTGGAGCTTTATTGGGGCGATGAAGGAGACGGAAGTATGGTCCTGCATTGGTGCGGATGGGGAGGAAGAGTATTTTTGAGGCGACCGAGAAGTTACATGGTTTGGCCAGTTAATGCGTTAGCTTTGTTGGAAAGATGAGGGACAGGGAGGGATGGGCAGCTCAAGTGACTGAAATTGGTGACACATCTGTGCTTCACAAAAAACTCGCTTTACATAATGCTGACTTGGATTTCGCAGGCACAGGCAGTAATCAAGATGGAAACTGCACTTTGTTGCCGTCTGCGAGTATTCATGAATTGCCTGTGCAGACACCCACCTGTATTCTCCGAAGAAGGCTGGAGACGATCAGTTTATTCTCTACTATGTATCTGAGAGTACAGCAAGTGGATGATTGGTGGGATGCAACAGAAAAAGGAGTGGAACGGAGTGGACACTGAGCAGATGAGAATGAGTGCAAACAACACGGAGCATCCACAGCAGGCAGGGAAGACAGAGAAGCCGGGAAGCTGAAGGGACGATGCCCAAGTTGGAATGTCATCGCATGGAACGTTATAAGCAAGCACTTTGCACGCAGGCATGGCATGATTCGGCATCATAAAGCAAGGGAAGGCACCCTAGGCATGGGAGATGGTTCTCAAAAGCATTGAAGGGAATGAAACCTGGTCAGGCAAAATCACAAACGGATAAAAGTTTTGAGTCGACTACAAAATGGCTCAAAAAGGGAAATACCCTAGATATGGGAGGTGGCTTTCAGAAGCATTGAAGCGAATGAATCCTGGCCCTGCAAAGTCCCACACCTAGAAAAGGATGACAGGAAGGGAAGGGCACAAACAGAACACGAGCAGGGAACGCAGACCAACAGTTATGAGAGCAGGGGGGAGTGGGAAATCGCGAGAAGGATGCGTGGATGGCTTTAAAGCCCGAGTCCCAAATTGCGGGCCGCGCGGGTCAAGCTTTTAAAACTTGACGAACTAGTGTTTTCAAGGTTTGAAGAAAAGCGTGCCTGCAATTTGGGACTTTTGGGAACTGAACCAACCCCCAGGGCGAAATACGAGGGCTGGCTGGGTTTGGCGAAAAAAACGAAAAAAGCGAAATCGGAATCTTTCGCCAAAACCCTCACCACAAAAACCCCCTCGCGTCAACCTTTTAAAACTTGTGCAATTTGGGCTGCCGGCTTTAAGCTTGATGTGAACGCACTGCAATGCGCTTGGCTGGGACCATAGGTTAATGATGACCAGACACGCTGAACCATATAAACAGACTCTTTTTTTTTCCAAGGTAAGGATGCAATAGTGATAGTGAAACCTGCACACACCTGCATGTGCTGGAACGGAGCTGCACGGACCGTGTCAGATGCAATGTCATCCCACACACCCACACCTGCGAGGATATGAGCGAAACACCTGATTTTTAACAAATCTCATTCGATATCCTCGAATGCGTAGGTATTACTACTCAACAACTTACAGTATTCCCCCATGCACAACAAAGGAGTCCGTCTGAACAGTTCAAGGACGTAATAACAGGTTATTGCGTGATAGAATGGTTTCAGGCACATGGATCAAGCATAATTTCGGGAGTTCCAGTCTGGCTTGAGGCCCACACTTTGAGGGTGGATGAATCACGCATTTACTTCGCCAACACTCACCTTGGGTGCATCAGAGTGAGTGAGATTCATGCAGCAACGACATTCTCTCACAGGTTGTCGGTGCAGGAAAAATATGCTTCCTAGGGCTAACTGTGAAGCTCCCTTCTCAGAGACACAGACCAGCAAGCGACTCACGCTTGAGGAGGTCGATGGATGAAGGATTCACGGCGATCACTCGCGCATCAGGAGCTGAGATTTTCTGCGTTGCCGCGGTAGTAGGCGTGCAGCTGCTGCTGCTGTGGGAGGCGTGGCGTGGCGCCTGACAGAGAGGGAGAGCATCGATGAGAGCGATGCGGAGGTCCCGCGTGAGTCGACTGGTGGCTGCAGGAGCACAATTGGGCAGGAGGAACGAAGAGAGAGTTTACTAGCAGATGCACAAGTGACATGGAGACGACTCAGCGGTTTACAAGCAGCAGCAGAGCTCCCAGGATGGACAAATATGGGTAATCAGGTGGAGCAATGCATGAATCAGCACTGTAGAGTGAAAGGCTTACAGAGTGCACATGCCGCAGCAGCACCAATGAGACCTCCGCCAACTATTGCCACGTCAAACACTTCTCCACCACTGCTGCTGCTGCTGCTAACTCTGCTGCTTCCCCTGACACTGTTAGTGGTGTTAATCTCGCCGCTGGGATTGCTGATGCTGCTTCCATAGTTGCTAGCGTCGAGGGGCTTTCCTGCACGGCTATCTGGTGACTTTTGAGGCGGCTCAACAGGAGGCTTTCCAGCATTGGTATCTGGTGGCGTTAAGTTCGCCTTTGCTGCAGATGGTGATGCGGACGTGGAATCCCGTAGACCGCTCGAGACAAGCCTGATGTTCTGAATGCAATAATAACGTGAGGAAATTGCATGGATGGACAACAATAGGTGACAAATGTGTCGATCCAAAAGTCACCTGATATCTTGGAAAAAAGTAATTGCAATCGAATGTTGCATGGATTGACAGTTGAGAGACCGAACATACTCAGACGACATAGTGATTGAAAACGTCGTCAGCGATCAAAATAGATACCACCGAGTTTTGTCAGCGAGCATTTTGTCATCCTGAAAGCTAATGCAGACATGATATTCGTCCCACTAGCCAAAGTCAAAATCCGACCGTTGGTCGTGAGGTAGGAATGGAAGGCAAAAAAACCGTTAGGACAGGAACGAAGCATATAAGGATATTAACGCACACGAAGGCCAAAAGGAGCGTCTGGAACTAAACCGGTCATGCGAGTCCATGTCTCCCCAACAGAAGCAGGTAGCGGCTCCGGTAACCGATACGGCGCGTGGCATGGTGATCTAAACGCAACGCGAGACAGCCTCCACATGACTCCAACAGCAGAGCGTTGCTTCTCGCAGAACAGATGCTCTCAGCCTCTGTAATTCTCGTGAAAGAAAAGCTGAATCTGTGAATGGCTGGCTGTCAAAGCTTGATAACATGGTTCCCACTACTCTTGCTCCAGAAGTGGTTACCAGATTATCCTAAAGTTAGACGACGTTCGCGACAATAACGATATTCCTCTGCGATAGGGCCGATTGTCCTCCTGAAAGGAAGAAAATATCTTCCACGCCATCGTGAGCGGGTTCAATGCCCACTGATTGGAGGAAACAATTGCCAGTCTGGGCCAATTCCACTACCAGCTGACGTGGTCTTGTGATGACGTCAATACGAGTGCTGGAAGTGAAAGTTCCCCTGGCGAAAGCGATGAATGCTTCGCCCCAGCAGAAAACGTCGCTTGTTACCCTCCTGAATGGTTTGTCCGTGCATTGAATCTCACCCACACCACCACCAGTGCAGAGGCATGTCAGGTTCGTTCATGTACGGTCCATTCCGGTGTCTTAACGCTCAAACGAGTTCAACTACGGTTGAGTAAGTTACAGACGAAAATCCGGGAAACACACGGCCTGCACTCCACCTCACCTCCTTTTCTGCATCCCGCTTCCCCGCCTCCGTTTTTCCGCTTGCTGCTTCCCCCCATCCCCTTTTCCCCTTCAACCGCTCCCAAAGCCCTTTCACCCCTTAATGTATGCATTATGTCATCCCCCAGCCAGTTCTAGAACCTAGATACCTTCTATTTTTCGAAGATTCGTTTCCGAATTATCGCCGCTGCCATTCCTCCTGCTCCTCCATTCCGATTATTTCGCCGTTCTTCCCGCCATCCGTCACTGCCATCCATTCACCGCTTTCATTTGTTGCCACGAATCCTTTACTCGCGCGCATCCGCTGGTTCTACCGTCCTTCTATTCCATTCATATCCGTCGTTGCCAACATCAGCTGATCTACCAACCGAAAAGTTCCATTCGCCAGAAGATTTATTCTTCAATGTACGTGAATGTCAAGGGCAACATTGCAGTGATCCGTCGTTTTGTTGTTCCCACTTTATTCACATTCTTTCCGTCTCTTAACGCGACTAATATCGCCCGTCGCGCTTCGTTCGCCAGAATATCTCATCGCCATGGCTTCTCAAATCGCTCGGCTTGCGGCGAGGCGGCTGGCCGGCGTTCCGGCGAACCCGACTGAGATGGTATGGTGGCGGGCGATGACCCAGGCGGGCAGGGTGCTGGAGGAGCAAGAGCACGCCGTCGAAAACGTCTACTTCCAGGTGCGTTCCTTTTTTGGGTTGTGCTTGTAAAGAGTATGTCTCAGAAGCGTCATTTGAGGCGGTATGGCGGCGGGCGATGAGCCAGGGAGGCAGGGTGCTGGAGGAGCAAGAGCACGCCGTCGTACGTAAACGTTCACTTCCAGGTGCGTGCCTGTGGCGGATTGTGCTTTTAACGAAACGGGCGTGTAATGGGTATGTGTCGGAAACGTCGTCGTAGCTGGTATAGCGTAGCGCAATGAGCGGAGGGCGCGATGAGCTATGGCGGGAAGGCGAGGGAGGAGTATGAACACACTGTAAATAACGTTTTTTTTTGCGGGCTGTGCTTGTAACGGATTGTGCTTTTTTAAAATGGGTGATTTTCATACATAGTACTTGGTTGTAAGTAATCAACGTGTGGTCTCTGGAGACGCATCGCTGAGAAAAGGCCATACAGGAAGGATATTATGAGAGATGGTTAAAATCCGTCAATGGTAGATCGCACCATGTCTGCCTTTTTCCAATGTGTTTCACTTTTATTCTGCCCATGCTTGCTTCCCTCTTCCCCATGTTTTTCATGCATTTCTGCCTGATGCTTTGTGGATTGGTTGGATTGTGTCTGTGCTGGTGATTGTTCACATCCATCCTTGCATGCATGCCTGCAGAAACTTGAGCATGAGAAGCTCGAGAAACTCAAGGCTGTAAGTCTCTATCTGCTTGTCTTGTCGCAACCCAGGCCTTGTCCCTCCTTACTCTTTCTTGCTGTTCCTTTCTGTTCCCTGCTCCTCCTTTCTCCTCCATGCTCCTCCTTTTTCCTCTCACTCATGAATACTCGTTCTGACACCAGATATTTTCACTTTACTCTGTATGCAACCACCCTGCATCTCACCGTCCTTTCTTCTCCCAACCCCGTTCTCCCCCCTCATTAACCCACTCCCCTCCGTCCCCCTCTATGTTATTGAGTCGACTAAAAAATCCTTCCTGTGCTGCAGTTCATCGATCCCCTGACCCTTTCGTGATTAAACCACTCCCCTGCCGTTCCCCTCTGGGTGCATGGGAAGCTATCACACTTGTTGTGGATGGACTAGAGTAGTGGCAGTCAAGGCAATCCTGACAGCCATGGGCCCTTCTCATACCCCCGCCCCGCACCTTTCCGTACCCCGGCAGCAACTGGAAGCACACAAGGAGCACATGCAGCATCGGTGCACAAGGCACTCAAGACCACCAGCTAGGGTTGTGATTCTCCCAACCGCTGGCCTCTACTCTTACCCTTTACCCATTACTCATGCCTTCTCATACAACGGCAGCAACTGGAAGCACACAAGGAGGAGGCGGCAGCGCATGCAGCAGCAGCACACGAGGCTCTCAAGGCTGCCAAGGAGGCTCAGAAGGCTGCCGAGTCTGCCAAGCCAGCTTCGGACGGAGGCTCGGGCAGCACCATGTCGTTTGCTGCGGGCACGGTTGTTGGTGGCCTGCTGGTGTGGCTGCTCAAGCCCTGATTAATTGCCAGTGTCCAGTTTGCCTACTCATGAATGTGAATTACTAGTACTGTACATCGCAAAGCCTTAACTGTTGTAGGTGGCATGTTGGTTTGGCTGCTCATGCCCTGATGGATCGACCATGTTCAGTCCTGTATTCATGAATTTGAATCTCAGTATACTGCAATACAAAGTATACGCATTGAAGTACTATGATGTTTGAGTTTGCTATACATGGGAACAATGCACTGAATGATAACCATATCTACATGCCTTTCAGCACATCTCGCAATGCATACATGTACGAGTTCACAAGGTGATCCGACAATAACGAGGATGACAAAACAATCCGCTCAAACCGCGCGCTCCCCTGCGCCTCCAACAACACATGCTCCCCATCCTTCTTATCCCTCACTATATGGTACAGTTTCCCCGGAGCGTAACGCCTGTGCGTATCCATGGTAACCACATTCGCCGAGACTGCTTCTCCATGTTTTCGCAGCTGTAGCAGTCACGTCCTCGGTAAGAATCTTAGACCTGCCATTCTCATTGCCATTGCTGCCATTGTCACTGGTACTCGCACTCCCATTACCATTCCCATTCCAACTGCCAAGCTCGTTGTCATTGCCGTTGCCGCTGCCAATGCACATTCCGGACTTGGTATTATCTGTCCCATGGCTGCTACCATGGCTGCTACCATGGCTGCTACCATGGCTGCTACCATGGCTGCTACCATGGCTGCTACCATGGCTATTGCCAGCTGACTCTTCCATGCCAAGCAGAATTGATCCAGCTCCCCACCCATCCTCCCCATTTTCCCGCTGTTGCTGGAGATGCTGCGAATGCTGTGGCAGTAACTCATGGTCGTCCCCTTTAGTAGCTGCTGCAGCATTGGAGTAGTGCTCGTCCGGAATACAGCACTCCATCTGCACCTGTTGCAGCAGCATCAGCTCATGTCGACTCAACTCCCTCTCCTCCTTTTTCTTCCACTTCTTCGACTTGAGCTTGGTCAGAAGCGAAGGCGAATCAGCAGGTGATAAAGTAGGAGCAGGACGAGGGGGAGAGGATCGAAGGGCCGAGCGGGAATTCACAGAGGGAGAGGAGCGTGAGGAGCGAGGGGAGCGAGAAGAGGAGGCGGCGAGGGAGGCTGGAGGGCGAGAGGAGGAGGAGAAGGTGTAGAGAGCATCAAGGGCAGATGAACAAGAGGTCGAAAGACCGAGCTCGTGAGGGGGAGTGGCAGTGGTGGTGGCAAAGAGAGGCAATTGAGATGAGGGGGATGAGGAGGACGAGGAAGAATCGAAGGGAGAGTGAGGAGGGGAGAGAAAGGAGGCATCTTCTGCAGAGGAGTCGCGGAGTATAGTAGCACCTGTCAGCTCGCCCTCCCTATAAGCAGCACCGTTACTGTCACCCACATCTGGAGGGCCTGAGCTCATAACCTCCATCTCTTGAACAGACGGAAAGCTGTTTGGAGTTGAGCTGGTACTGCTGTTACTGACGCTGTTTCCACCGTTTCTGTCAATGCTGCTGGTGCTGGTGCTGGTGCTGCTGCTGCTGCTGCTGGTCCCGTTCTTTCTGCTGCTCTCGGCATTACTGTTGCTGTTGCTGTTGCTGCTGCTGCTGCTGCTACTGCTGCCGTTGCAGCGAGCGGCCTTCTCCTTGCTGGGCTGAGCAGCAGCGCACGCCACGACTTCGTTGCGGAGCGACTCCAAGGCGTGCAGACTGAGGCGCGGCACTATGTCATCCTGATAACATACAAAAACAGAACATGGTAAGAAAAGCATGTGCGGGGAAGAGGGCATGCAAGTCAACGTAACGCGTCGAGCATCATGAATCACTTGGTTGCGCGGCGACTCCAGCGCTAGAGAGAGAGGGAGAGAGAATTCCTCTAAGTGGCTCACCTGCAGGACCACAGTGGTGATGAAGGAGCGACAGAAGAGCGCCAGATGCCTGGAAACACACGGCGGGGTAGCAAACCCCACACATAGTGGTGCATACAAGGCTGTCCCTATCAAAGCACCGCGGAGCTCACCTGCAGCACCACAGTGGTGATGAAGGAGCGACAGAAGAGCGCCAGATGCCTGGAAACACACGGCGGGGTAGCAAACCCCACACATAGTGGTGCATACAAGGCTGTCCCTATCAAAGCACCGCGGAGCTCACCTGCAGCACCACAGTGGTGATGAAGGAGCGACAGAAGAGCGCCAGGTGCCGGGACACACACGGCGGCGTAGCGAACCCCACGCAGCGCACGCGCTCACTCTCAATCCCCAGCAAGCTCTCCGCCTGTGGCCTGAGCAGAATGGTCACCAGCGCCGCCACCGCCGCCCCCAGTGTCAGGAGGAAGCTACCAGACGAGGGGAGGTGGAAGGCAAAAGGGAGCTCACCTGCAGCACAAAAGTGGTGATGAAAGACCGACAAGACAGCGCCAGATGCCGGGACACACAGGGCGGAGTGGCGAACCCTACACACCGCACGCGCTCGCTAGTTATCCCCAACAGACTCTCTGCCTGTGGGCGCAGCAGAATGGTCACCAGCGCCGCCACCGCTGCCCCCAGGGAGTGCCCGATGAGGCGCAGGTCGTACCCCGGGTGGTGGGCCAGCAGGTGGCGCAGCAGGGGGGAGAGAGAGAAAAGGGAGAGAATTCCTCTACGTGGCTCACCTGCAGCACCACAGTGGTGATGAAGGAGCGACAGGACAGCGCCAGATGTCTCGATACACAAGGTGGTGTGGCGAACCCCACGCAGCGCACGCGCTCGCTCCCGATCCCCAACAGACCCTCCGCCTGTGGCCTGAGCAGAATGGTCACCAGCGCCGCCACCGCCGCCCCCAGGGAGTGCCCGATGAGGCGCAGGTCGTACCCCGGGTGGTGGGCCAGCAGATGGCAGAGCAGGGGGGACTCCTCGTGCACGAAGGTTTCGGCTGCTTGCACCATGCCGTAGTGCCCGAAGGCTATTACTTCGTCCATGTCCCGTCTCTCCTCCTCTCCCACCACGTCTTCCATTGTCTCCTCCTTTGGAGGCTGCTTTGAGGCTTGCTTTGAGTTCTCTTTGGGGTTCTGCCTTGGTTTTGCTGTTGATTGCCCGTTTGGCCCAATCTCTGGTTGTTGTTTGGCCTCGTTCCCCCTCCTCCTATCCTCCCTCACGCTCCTGTCCTCCCCTCTTATCCATACATCTCTCCTCTTTTCCTCTCCCCTCCCTCCTTTTTGCTCACTCCTGCCCGCGACCAACCTATCTCCCTCCCTCTCTCCCTCCATCCCATCGCTCTCTATAAAAAATTCCCCTTCTCTCTCCTCGCTCCTCTCCTCACTCCTCTCCCCGCCATCGGTTGCCGAGCCACTCTCTCCCCCCTCCCTCTCCACAGCACGCTGAACAGTAGACACGTGGACCGAGTGCGCGGCGAGGTTCGTCAGCATGTCGTGCGCAGATCGCGTCCCGCGGAACGACACCACTATGAGACGACGCTTGTCGTCCAGAGCTATGAAGTAGGCCGGCCTGCCGTAACGAGCCTGATGTGGCGACGGGGACGAAAGAGGGGATAGGGCAAGGGGAGGGTGGGGGAAGATGGGAGGATTATGGGGGATGGAGGAAAATGTGGAGAGGAGTGGAGGATGGCGGCAGGATGGGAAAATACTGGGGGGAGAATAGGAGAAAAATGGGGGGAGAATGGGAGGAGAGTGCATGCTTGCATTGCATGTGTGCAAGAATGCATGCTTGGAAAGAACGCGTCGTGAAAGCCTCACCTTGGGAACAATCTTGACGATGCGGTTCGGCCGAACCATGCACGCCTGCGCTATGGCTCGGTGCGTCGTGGCAATGGACGCCCGCGCGAACTCGCAGTGGTAGATCAGATCATGCACCTGCGATGGTGAGGGCGGAAGGAGGAGAAATGGTGTTGTGCTATGGCTCTGTGCGTCGTGGCAATGAATGCTCGGGCGAACTCGCAGTGGTATATCAGATCATGCACCTGCGATGGTCAGGGCGGAAGGGGCAGAGGAATGGGGCAGCAGAGCAGAGCATATGCTTAGACCTCTCTGCGTGTAGACACTTGTGTAGACCACGCCTGAGCTATGGATATGTTGCTACGGCTTCCCTTGCGAACTCGCAACAGTATCCTGCACCTGCCACGGTGAAGGAGGAAGGAGCTGCAGGGAAATGCGACAGCAGAGCACGCATAAGCTTCTGTGCGTGAGTATGCTTATTATGGCTGCACGGGCAAACACACAGGACGAGGAAAGTACAAGGGGCGTCAAAGGTGAAATGGGAACCTGTAACAGATGTGCAAACTCATCTCATCACTCACTGTTTGCTCGTCTGTGACAGGCGCGGATGCAAAAGTGTTATGCTGGAGCGACAGCAGGTGCAGCCTGTGGGTGAGATCCCCAAAAACGAAGCTACCTACCAGAACCTGGCAACCCCCACTCACTGTCTGCTCGTCTGTGACTGGCGTAGATGCCACTGCATCAATCGCCCTCTCCTCAGCATGCTTCAGCGACAGCAGGTACAGCCTGTGGGTGAGGTCCCCAAGAGGAAAGCTACCCCCCCACCAGATATTACCATGCCTCTGTACTCACAGTTTGCTCGTCTGTGACGGGCGTCGAAGCAACAGTATCAACCGCCCTCTCCTCAGCATGCTGCAGCGACAGCAGGTACAGCCCGTGGGTGAGGTCGCGCATTGACCATGCGCCCATGCCGCCTGCACTGGCTCGCACACTCCTTGCCACGTCCAGCAATACTCCCATGCGGATGCGAGGCAGCGAGTTGAATGCCCGTGCCACTGGGGAAAGGACACGAGGAGAGGGAATAGAGTGGGAATAGAGGTGGGAATAGAGGTGGGAATTAGAGGCTTATATTCTGTCATTCAGTCCCGGAGGGACCATGCGCCCATGCCGCCTGCACTGGCGCGCACACTCCTTGCCACGTCTAGTAGCACTCCCATGCGGATTCGAGGCAGGGAGTTGAATGCACGCGCCACTGGGGAGAGGGAAGGATGTGAGGAGAATGTGCTGGACATATGAGGCTCATACTGACCATGTCTCAGAAAACATTTGAGACGCATCAAAAATAGAATCCAGAGATTTGGTTATAAGCTCTGACACAGCCGACCATCCAGACCTACCTGGTGGGCCAGTGAAGCTGAGTGCAGGTGAGACAACAACATCAGAGATCCAGGAGAGAGTGCGGGAGGAGACTGCGGTTTGGTCAACTCAAACAGCCCTTTGAATGGACTCAAAACAAGCCTACCTGGTGGGCCAGTGAAGCTGAGTGCAGGTGAGACAACAACATCAGAGATCCAGGAGAGAGTGCGCGAGGAGACTGCGGTTTGGTCAACTCAAACCGCCCTTTGAATGGACTCAAAACAAGCCTACCTGGTGGGCCAGTGAAGCTGAGTGCAGGTGAGACAACAACATCAGAGATCCAGGAGAGAGTGCGCGAGGAGACTGCGGTTTGGTCAACTCAAACCGCCCTTTGAATGGACTCAAAACAAGCCTACCTGGTGGGCCAGTGAAGCTGAGTGCAGGTGAGACAACAACATCAGAGATCCAGGAGAGAGTGCGGGAGGAGACTGCCAACCCCCGCCGCAACACACTCTTGCGCTCCTTTCCCCCCTCTTCCTCCTCCAACAACAACTCTTCCTCCTCGTCTTCCTCTTCTTCTTCTCCACCCTCCTCTTCCCCCCCTTTTTCTTCCTCTATTCCCGAAGTCTCCTCCCCCACGCCTACATCTGAGGTGCTAATGGCGAATGCCATATCCCCAGCTTCTCTCTTCTCTAGCCTTTCTTTCTTTTCCACTCCTTCTCTCTCCTCCGCCCCTTCTTCCTCCTCCACCGCTGTTACTGCACCCAGCACCTGACTCAACCGCTCCTGGCCAAACTCATGCTGCCGTTCCGGCGTCCCTTCACTCATTCTCCCAGCCTCCGCCCCTCTGCTGCTTCCCTTGCCCTCAGTTAACCCACTGCTCCTTCCCTTGCCCTCCCTTGACCCTCTGACGCTCCCGTTGCCCTCACTTGCCCCTCTGCTGATTGCCTTGCCCTCGCTTGCCCCTCTGTTGTTCCCATTGCCCTCCCTGACCGCCCTGACTGCTCCATTTGTGGCACCAGGTGACACATACGCGTTATAAGCTGGCACAGGTGAGACATCAGACGCCATATGTCTCCCATATGCGTCAGGTGACACATACGCGTCTGTATATTTTCCTCCCTCTTTCCTCAGTCTGATTGGTTCTTCCCCTTTCGTAACCCAGGCGCCTAAACTACCGTTACTTTGCACTCCATTGCAACCTGCTGCACCCACACCGGCCAGATTAGGCCGCTCACCACCACTCTCCACCGCACCCTCTGCCGCTTGACCCAACTCCACCGCACAATAACCATCCCGCGCTTCAGCCCCACAAACACGCCCTTCTGCTTCATGCTGCTCTTCCCACACACCACCACCACCCCTCAGCTTACGAACTGCAAAGCTCACCACCGCACGGAACCCCTTCGCCCCTGAAGCAAGGCTCAAGGACCCCTTCCCAGCACCGAGGCCTTCCCGTGTGCTGCTGACGTGGCTACTCATCGGATTTCTACTATTGTTCTTGCTGGTGCGATTACCGCTCTTACTGCTTCCATCGTGGCTGCTCCTTTGTGGCTCATCTGGCAACAGAGCAGAGGAGGAGACGGCGCGTCTGGGTGGTGACGGAACTGAAAAACTTTTAAGTCGTCTCAGAAGTCTGCTCCTGTGAGGCTCGTCTGGTAACAGAGCAGCGGAGGAAACAAAGCGTCTGGCGGATGACAGAACAGGAAGGACGGAGGCTGGAGCGCGGTGATTTTGCTGACGTGTCAGTGACGTGAGCGGGGAGATCCGAGTATGGAGTGTAGCCATTAAGCCGAGAGGACAGTGAAGGTTGCTGCAAGAAACGAGGTTTCTTCTAGGAGAGACGCGACTGCTGCTTGGAGAAACCGAAAGGTTGCTTGAAGCACCGTGAAGGTTGCTTGAAGAAACAGGAAGGTTGCTTGCAGGACTGGGAAGATCGTTGCTTCTTGGGAGCGTACGAGCCAAGAGACCTTGGTACCTTTGCTGGACGAAGACCGTGGAACGAACCTGATGCTTCTTCGGATTGTACTGCTAACAAGAAAAGGACGAGACGCGGAAATGAACATAAACAAGGGATTGTTGATTGTTTTGTTTTTCGGAGGCTCGGGAAAAAATGGCGCTAGGAGGTGGAAGAAACACAATGGAAGGAACTACAGCGTAAAGCTCAACGAGGAGATGCTTTTATGTTCCTGATAAGGAAACGCAAAAAGGTTACCGGGCGGATGGAAGCTGTCAACGGCGTTTGGAAAGCTGGTAGTATGTGCAGCAACTTGATGCTACTACGGAGCCTATTAAAGACCGCGGCGGAAACTGGTAAGACAGAGACCGAGAATCGCGCTGAGGTGACACCGAGAGTTCTTGAAACTTGTGCCATAAAAACATCCTTCCAATGCGAATCGCTACCGTGACACCGACCGTTCATTCCATTGAACGTGGACGCGCTGCGACCTGGTAAGACTGCTTCACTTCACTCGAACCTAGTAACTGCTTGACGCATGTGTCATGTCAAGCCCCCGATTCTCCGCCTCAAGTTTCAAGTTTCATCTGGCAGTTGGAAGGAACGACATGAACCAGAGCATGGCTGAAGCGTGCGACGCCATGACTGAATTCGACATTGGAATTGTCGCCTGACAACGAAGCAAATATCACGTTCTTCCTGCCAATGGAAGTTTGTGTGGCAGCAATCAAAATTGACCATACAGCTAATGCTCGTTTGAGTCCCCCAACTTTGGGATGTCATGGGGGCTTATAAGCGTTTATGTCAATTCGGCGGGTTCGCCCATTTCGCCACGGATATAGGGTGCTTATAAACAACTGGATATGTAACAGGCTTGTCTTTTCTTCAACAGTATTGGTGAGCTTTGTTTGTTGTTAGTGCTTTAGCGAGAGTTACCCCGTTTTCGCCCCATCACTAGTACACGAGTACAACATACAGCTCATCAAGTCACAAATAAGCATACTCCCACACCCACCCAATCCCGCAACCCCACGTGCCTTAGATGCATTACATCTCACAAACACATTTCGTCACTCTCGAAATGTGCACGAGTCGTGCACAAATGCCAGACGAACAAGCCCCACTCAACTTCAGAGGCGCCACATTGAGATTCAGAGCCGCATCCATTCCGCTGCGGCGACGTAGCCGCTCATGACGGCCGGCACGCCGCTGTCGATGAGCTCCTGGCGCCGTGCGGTCTGGGCAATCCAGTCCGCCGTGGGCACCGTCATCCACGCTGGGAGGACTCGCCCACGAGGACGGCGGGTCTCAGGTTCCGGGGTGGATGCAGCCGTAATGGCGGGAGGTGGGGTCGAGTTGAGGTTCAAAGGCGGGCTTGCGCGCTCCATCCTCTCCCGGATGATGGGGTTGCGGATGTCAAAGAGCGCGCACAAGTCTCGCGGAGTGACGCAGGTCGCCTTGGCGTACCCGATGAGCATCTCGCAAGCCAAACGGGCAGTGCGCCGCGCTTCGCGCGACGCCGGGTTGGCGTCGTCGTAGACCTCCTGCATCGTCAAGGGAGGCGCCCACGTGTCGTGCGTCGGCGCAGGCGTCGGCTCCTAGGCGAGAGGATCATCCCCCGGCTCCGCACACGTCGGCTGATTCTCGTCCACCGCGACGAAATCGGCCGGCGCCATTGCGCTGGAGCCGAGGCACAGTCGGTCGATGAGGAGGCCGACTCCGTTGACCTCCCCATCAAGGCAGGACGGAGATGTAGAGTGCCGTCTCGTCGAAGTTGAACGTGTCCCGCGGCCTCACTCCCAAATGCATAAGAAGCTGCGGGAGTTTCTCCTGAGTGGTGCGGACGGCGGTCATGTCCTGATCGGCCGCCTCACCTACCGCGCTCATGCATCGCACGCCCTGGCGGCGTAAGGCGCGGCGCACCCCTCCGATGGAGCAACGAAACGTCGCGGGTGCGCCATTCTCGCGGGTCATGTGCGCCACGTGGTCTCGAATAGTGGCGAGGGTGAGAGGCACTCCAGCGGGGCCCGCCCTCGCAATCCAACGGGCCATGGCGCGTTCCAGTTCCGGATACGCGCCGCCGCGCACACGGACGGCGTTGTCATTGTTGTCGTCCCGGCGCCAGCGGTCAGCACTTTTCAAAACGCGCCCTACGGTAGAGCGGTCGGGACGGATGCCGAAGCGCGTGAAACACCACCTAGCGAGGTCGACGTGGCGGAGCTGGGGGTGCTCGACGTGGTGGGCGCATATTGCGCGCTTGATAGGCAGACCGAGCTGTGCTCGGTGGTAAAGACGAGGCATGTTGTGTAAGAGGTGGGGCTGGGAGAATGGGTGGATTTGAAAATCTGGACACTCTTTATGGTGTTTTGATTCGTTAGAGTTTAGCGAGTGCATGTGTTTTTCCAGGTTTGTGAGGGAAACCGGGGTGCTGATGAACGGGGATGGTGTTCATAGGTTAGTGCGTCAATGTGAACACCTGTAGAGGAAATGACGTGTCACGATCCCCCAACGTGCGGCTGTAGAGGGGTTTGTACCGTGCAGATGCACGTACCAGGTGGCGATGTGATTCTCGTCACGATGTGTTAGGGGCACGTACACGTTCTGACGTGGCAAACCTGAACTCACCCGGAGATGCGCGAACGTTTTGCGAAGCTCGTCCATTGAGTTCGAGCAGCTTCGCCCTGGCTTGTAACTGGAGCGTCCGGGGGTCGGCGGGGTCTGTTTTGTGAGGCTGGTTCATTTTTGGGCGCATTCACGCACTGTGGACAAGTGGCGTCAGGGGACTGTACCCAGGGTGCAAAATCAGGGAAAAAAAACCACGGGGGCAGAGTTTCTGCCGGATGCAGGGAAATTTCGCGTGCACTGGTTGGGCATCGACTGTACATAAAGAATATGCGAAATCAAGAGGCATGACAAACACATCATCCAGCACGGTACAATACGGTTGAAAGTTGAACACGCAGTACACTCCACGTGCTTATAACATATTTCCGACTGACTGTAGAGGGAACCCGTCTGCCGTGGAAGACTTCTGGAACCTCCGAGATCTGGTGAAAGAAAGCCAGCATGACCGTCGGATGCAACGATGACCCATTCGATTGGGATGTTCCCGCCTCGCTAAATCGCGAACAGGTCGTTACGTCGTGCGATTTTCCGCGTCAGCCGAACCGTACCAAAAGCATGTTTTGCGAAAAACAAATTCGCAAAAGCAGCGTCGGGTCCTGAACATAACAAGTTTCACGAGTTGTGCCTGTTCAATATCGGGTCCTCTTGTAACGGGAAAACAAGTCTTTTAGAGCGAAATTCGTCAGAATTTGCTTCCAGGCTTTGCTATGTCCATTCAGGCTGCAGGGACAGAGCATAGTGTCCCCCAGTGTGAGTGGACAAGACATGTCTTGGATATTTTGACTGATTATCCGGCTTCTGATTATCTGGCTGATAGACAGAAGAAATATATTGCGTCTTACTAGTGACGCTGGCCATCCGTTGCTAGCATTTTCTGTATCTTAGTCGACCGCCAGAATTATTGCAAGATTTTAGGGTTGCAAGCTTTCCGGGCCTCAGTCCAGTTTTACAAGCCCGCATTTTAAACATGTCAGCGCATACCGCGATTACTGCGAGTTTCACTGATACTAACAATGATGCTGACCTGGAACAGCTGCGAGCGTTTATCGACACGTGTCCGCTTCTGGACCACCACTGCCACTGCCTGATGGAGCTAGAGCCGCCCGTTACAGTCACATCTCTCAGCGACGCGCTCCTAGGCTCACTCACGGAGGCGCATGGCAAAGCGCGAGAACACGCAGTACACTCCATCGCCGTTAAGGTACCATGTTCGATACAAGCTACTGACGCGTTCCTGCCTTCGCCGTTCACTTCACGTTCTCTCGTTTCCTTCCCTGCTCATTGGTCGCTCTATTCCTTCAAATTCGCAACAATTTTCCACTGTCCACCACCATTCTTCTGACCTCCTCTACCACTCGACCCTCCTCCTCTGTTGTCCCTCACCCCCCTCTCACCCTCCCACATTCCCCCCGTCCCCCACACTCCCACTTCCCCATCCTCTCTGTTCCCAGCGCAGTATTCGTGAGCTGGCGTCTGCCCTATCAGCGGACGCCACGTCACTGGAGGGAGTCGCCGCTGCGCGCCTGCGATTGGGCGAGGAAGCAGCCAATCAGAAGCTGTTTGGTGCTGCGAGGATATCCGCTCTGCTTTTAGACGATGGGCTTAGAGGCGGGGTGGCTTATAACGAGGACTTGAACTGGGAGGTAGGAGGAGGAGAAGGCAGAGTGCTTGAACCAGGAGCAGCAGAAGAAACAGCAGAAGGTGTGGCATCAGCAGCAGCACAAGAGGGAGGGCAGCAGGGAGAGGAGAAGAGGGCAGAAGGGAAGAGGTGGAGGTGGAGGGGCGTGGCATGGCACGAAACGCTGGTGCCGGTGGTGCGGCGAGTGCTTAGACTGGAAACTCTAGCGGAAGATATTTTGCTGGGACCAGCGCCAGGTGGCACGTGGACATTGGACAGCTTCTCCAGGCAGTTCCACGACGCCATTGACCCATATCCACCCTCACGTGCCCTCCGATGCCTGTTTCTTGTATGTCATTTTTCTAGAATTCTAGAAAACACTTCCACGAGGCCGTTGATCCGTATCCACATGATCTTGCCTTCCCATGCGCTTGCTTATGCAAAACGAGTTGACTTTTGAGTCGACTCAAAAGTCAACTCTGCTTCTCCAAGCAGTTCCATGATGCCATTAATCCATATCCACCCCCTCGTGCCTTCCCATGCCGTTTGTGAATGAGGTGAACAGACGACGAGAAAGAAAGCAAGCAAGAAAAGTTTGTTAATGTGGCGCATCAATCTGATCTTTCCTTGAGTCTTTACTTGAAAGTTGTCTCTCTGTATCTTTCTGATCCGTTAATGGCCACGTAACACACTGCTTATAGACTGCATAACCTCCGTTCTGTGTTGACCTTGTTTGGCCTGTGTTGACACGTTTTCGCCCGTGCTGACTCGTGCTGACCTTTGTTGGCCTGTGTTGACATGTGTTGACCTCTGTAAACTCACGCTCGTCTCGTCTCGTCTCATGACTTTGCATAGACACTCTCCCGGTCCGATGTCGTAATCCTTGACCTTCCCCTTAGAGCAACCTCTCGTAATCCTTAACCTGAACCTTCACGAAATCTCTATGACTTGGACTCTACACTCCACCGCCTGGAGTGGTGGCGTTCAAGAGCATTGCAGCGTACCGCTGTGGGCTCTCCTCCATCGACCCTTTAGTAACGCCAGCTGAAGTGGAGCTCGGCCTTCAAGCCACACTGGGTGAGTGGTGCTCTGAGACTCCTCTGCATTAGAGGGTTCCACTGCCCAGATGAGAAAATTTCCCAAAGGTGACTCCAGACCCAACTCTTTTGGAGATTGACAATATCTCTGTATGTGTGCGGTAATCTCTTGTTACTCCCAATCCAAACCCTCAGCTTCGGTAGTCCAGACCTGTCAACCAAGCTTGCGCCTGAGTGACCCCCGGGTGATCAGCTTCTGCATTGCCACGGCCCTTGCAGTGGCGGCCAAGCATCAGCTGCCGCTGCAGATACACTGTGGGTGAGTGATGGGATTTTCATGTATGGTATGGTTGACCAGCCTCTGTCAGGGCGAATGGTGGATGCTTGGTGATATGCTTTCCCTTCCCTACTGCCCTTGCCTTGCAGTGGTGGCAAAGCATCAGCTGCCGCCACAGATACACTGTGGGTGAGTGGTGAGGTGTGGTGTAGTTGATTGATCGACCTCATGATACAGCCCTTGGTGGGGTTGATCAGTCGTTTGTGTCGCAACGGCCCTTGCAGTGACGGCCATTCATCAGCTGCCGCTGCAGATACACTGTGGGTGAGTGATGGGTTGATTTACGTATGGTTGATCAGCCTTTGTGACTGTGAATGGTGGATGGTTTATGTGAGTTCAGGCAAGAAGAGGAGGCTCAGGTTCTTGGAGCCTATTCGCACTATGTTCTTGTAGTGTTTATGTCCTCCTAAAGTGTCGTTTGTTTGTGCATCGTGTTTGTAATCTTGCTTGGCTGCCTCAAGCATTCAGTTGATTTTTTTGTGGCAGACATGTGAAATTACAAACATGTTGTGTAAACCTCTCTCCAAGATGGCATGTGCACTGCAACAGCATAGTGCAATATGCTAATCAGCTTCAAGAACTTGAGCCTCTTCTTCGTGCATGCATTCAGCTTGGTAATTTGCTTCTTCAATTCGTTTCCCTTCACAGGTACAGCATCAATCGCTTAAATATTCCTCATGCTCTGGCGCATGAACATCAACAGTCAAACAGCAATCCAAGATGCGAGACCTGAGCCTTTCATTATTACCTGGGAGTTTGTAATAGATGCATCCAACTCTTCCCCTTCCCCCGTCCAGGTTTGGCGACAGGGACTTGGACTTAGCAGCAGCCAATCCCCTGTGCCTGCGCCCCTACTGGAGTTCAACGAAGGGCTTACGGGGGTGCCAGTGGGGGACTTGGTGTTTGAGTATACTCCTAAAGGCACCTTGTCCC